CAGTGGCCGGGGACCAGGGCGCGGGGGGAGGAGGAGGGTCCGGTCCTGGGAAGGACCCGCGACCCGCCAAGTGGTCCCTTCGGGGTCTGCTGCACCCTTCTAGACCTGTCAGCGGCTCCCGTCCCAGCGCCATCCTCCGATCCTCATCCTAACCCCCACCCTCCCCGGTCTAACCCCTTCTGAAATCCTCTTTCTACCCCCAGCCCCGCTCGTTCCCGAGCCCCACCCCCACCCGCTGCATCCCCAGCCTGACCCCTTTCTTCTCCGTTCCCTTCTCCTCATCGGTCCCATACCCTTCTGAGCGAACCCCCACCCCCACCTGCCCAGCCACGGCCTTCCTCCTTCCCCATCCCCACCCAAGCCCGCGCGCGCCCCTGCACCCCCGCCCGGTGCTCAGTGCGGCCCCTTCTTGTCCTCCTCCCCGCCCTCCGTGCTGCTCCCGCTCTTTCATCCATTCATCTGCTCGCTGAAATCTCTGTGCAGGCCTCATGCTACCTACGGGCCACGAGAGGGGGGGGGGTGTCCCATCCTACCCTGGGCTAGAGGAGGACACCCTGAGGGCCAGACCCCAGGATGAACTTGGGGTTGTCGCTGGAGCTTGAAGGGCGGGAGAAGCTCCAGCCAAATCTGGGGAGTGCTCATCTGGCAGCTGGTTCATGTATTCACCAGATTGTACCCTGCCCCTGCCCCCGTGGACTCAGGCAGGAATCAGGTACAGCCTTGCCTGTGAGGGGCACTAGCCCCCTGTCTAGTCTAGCTGTGTGGGACCATGGGGCTCAGCCCAGGGGCAGTCGCAGCCCCCTGGGGAAGATGAGTCAGCGCACAGTGACAGCTCAGATGGTGGGGCAGTGACAGGGGAGCACATGCAGTCATGGAGGCTAGCATGGGACTCCTCAAGGGATGGCAAGAGGCCTGCCCCAGGCTGAAGGAGGAGGGGGAACTTTCTAGAGGCAGAGATGCAGGAGTGGCTACCTGAGGGGTAAGGAGTGAACCTAGTAATAGGGTGAAGGGAAACTTCCAAGCAGAAGAAACAGTCTTTAGAAAGGCCTAGAAGGGTCCTTTTGTTGGGCTCTCAAAAGTTCCCGGAGAGGAAGCCAGGGGATGGATGTCGTGGGCAATGGGGTGAGATGGAGCTGGAGAGGTAGACAATGGCTAACTCGGGGAAGCCTTGAGTGGCAGGCTGGGCCCCGGGTCCAGATTTGATGCCGGGGACAGCATGGAGCCATTGAAGGTCCAGAGCTGGGGTGAGACAGGGCCTGATCTGTTTTATGAAGATGATTCCAGCACTTGTTGTGAAGGAGAAGCTCTGTGTGTGTGTGTGTGTGTGTGTGTGTGTGTAGGGGGTAGGGCAGTGCCTAGCAGCAAAAGACTGATTGCAGGGGGTTGGGGTGGGGGGCAGACAGTGACTGTCCAACAGCGGGTGGGGGGGATGGTACAGAGAGGCACACATGCCCTGTGAGCCTGACAAGCGAGCAGAAGCCAGGAGGGCTGGGACCAGGGCTGCCCGCTTTCTACTCTCCAATCTAACCCTTGCTCATCTCACCCGCAGCGCAGACCACACACTCATCCTCCAACCTGCTCTCACCTCCCCCTGCCTAGGCCCAGCGGGGCCCATTGACAAAGGTCCTATTGTTAGCTCCAGCTCTGGCTGGGGTCCGCTTACTCCTCTCTCTGCTCTGCAGGCTCGGAGCACTGACAGCCTGGACGGCCCAGGGGAGGGCTCAGTGCAGCCTCTGCCACCCCCAGGGGCACCCAGTGTGAAGGGAAAGCCTGGGAAGAGGTGAGGGGTGAGGGAAGGCTTGGCTGAGGAGGGGGGCCATGTGCAGGACCTGTGGGTGATGTGTCCCCTTCCCTCCAGGCTCTCAGCACCTCGGGGGCCCTTCCCGCGGCTGGCCGATTGTGCCCATTTCCACTACGAGAATGTAGACTTTGGCCACATTCAGGTAGGCAGAAGAGGCACCCGGTCGGTCGGGAGTCAAGTGTAAGCCCTTTCTGTCCCTAAGCACCTCTCAGAGCAGTCAGTGCAGGGGAGGGAGGGGACAGGGGGGAGCTGTTCATTACATTCACTCATTCATTCAACACTCAGCAACTTTACACTGGGGGTCTGCTGCGTGCTAGGACCCTGCTCTCTGCTGGAGACAGCCCCGGGCCAGGTTGGGCAGTGTGCACGCCCAGCGATGGCGGCCTGGAGTGCTCAGAGCTGGACATAGGTTTGGCCAGCCATTGTTTCCCTTCGCAGCTGCTGCTATCGCCCGAGCGTGAAGGGCCCGGCCTCGCTGGCGAGAGTGAGCTGGTGTTTGGGGTGCAGGTAACCTGTCAGGTGAGGCCATCTCAGAGGATCACAGTCCTCAGCTCAGTGTCTGGGGGCCACTGCATCACTCTGTCTCTCCGGCTTCCACAGGGCCGGTCCTGGCCGGTGCTCCGCAGCTACGATGACTTCCGCTCTCTGGACGCCCACCTCCACCGTTGCATATTCGACCGGAGGTTTTCCTGCCTCCCTGAGCTTCCCCCACCTCCTGAGGGGGCCAGGGCTGCCCAGGTAGCCCACTGCCCAGGTGTCCCAGTCCTGGCCTTAGCCTCCTGGTGTGTCCTCCTCAACACTGTGTAAACCGTCAAGACTGGGCGGATAGAGAGGTGGTTCATCACTGGGGTGCCCCACAAGGGGAAACCTGGTGGTGACTGAGCTGCTAGACCCACCAGCTGCTCTATGGGGAAAGATGAGGCTGTTTGCCCCCAATAAAAGCCTTAGGGTCTTTTAAAAAAAAATCACAGCCTGGGAAACCCACAGGGACAGTTCGACTGTGTGCTATGGATTCAGAATCAGTGTGCCATGTCAGCAGGGCAGTGGTTGGGGTGAGACCCCCCACCAGAGCCCAGCGATGCTGTGGGTTGGGCTGTGCACAGAAGGGTGGCAGTTTGAATCCTCCAGCTACTCAGTCCCCAGGCTCGGAGCCCCCGTTGGGTGGGTTCTGTTCTGTCCTGTAGGGTGTCCAGGAGAGGGCGGTGGGTCACCAGTCAGAATAAACAAGTCACGGCACCATTTAACTTCAGTATCACAGCGCAATTAGGACTGCGAGGGGGAGGGGAGGGCCTGGAGCTTGGACCAGTCCCCCCTCCCCCAACTGATCGGAATCGACAGTGTCTCAGAATTAAACAGCAGGGCCAGGATGCCCTCCCTATCCAGAAGCGCACGAGGCTGCGTGGGAGGGCAGTGGGTGCTCCTGGCTCCAGCGGCAGGAGTGGGGGCGGGGCTCATCCTGACGCTGCCCCCCAGATGCTGGTGCCACTGCTGCTGCAGTACCTGGAGACCCTGTCGGGGCTGGTGGACAGTAACCTCAACTGTGGGCCTGTGCTCACCTGGATGGAGGTAACCCTGACAGAGGGGCTTGCTGGCCGGGGAGTGGGCGAGGAGGGACTGAGGGGCACGTGTGGGCACAGGAAGGAGAGGAGTCCGTGTGGAGGAGGCACACTGGTATTTTCGTGTCTGTGTGGGCACATGCCTGAGAGAGGGAGAGAGAGAGCGTGTGCATGTGTGTCTAGGTGGGGAAGATTTAAAGGTCTATCCGTTAGAAACACAGGCTGTAACTCAGATAGCTGGCTCCCTGGGGCCCAGGCTGGAGGGGGAGCCAATGTGCAGTGTCTGCCCATGCAAAGCCAGGGTGCAGGGGCGCATGGGGAGGGCTTGGGGGCAGGGAAGCCCCAGGCCATGTGCAGGCAAAGAAGAGAGGGTGTTTTAGAGAGGGTAGGGGCTTCTGGGTGATGGGGGCTCCTAGGTGGGGGTCCCTCCGGCCACATGCCCCCTCCGTGTCAGCTGGACAACCATGGCCGACGCCTGCTGCTCAGTGAGGAAGCCTCGCTCAACATCCCGGCGGTGGCCGCCGCCCACGTGGTGAAGCGCTATACAGCCCAGGCGCCGGATGAGCTGTCCTTCGAGGTGAGGCTATGGGGGGCTGTCTCTGGCAGGGCCCCTGCCACCCCTTTCTCTGACGCCCCTGTCCATCGCTTCCCTCGCAGGTGGGAGACATCGTCTCCGTGATCGACATGCCGCCCACCGAGGATCGCAGCTGGTGGCGAGGCAAGCGTGGCTTCCAGGTGAGGCGAGGCGGGCCGGGGCCGGGCTGGGGCAGGGGGCAGTAGGAGTCAGGGCCCTGCAGCCTCCTACTCACCCTTAACCCTCCTTAGGTCGGTTTCTTCCCCAGCGAGTGTGTGGAACTATTCACCGAGCGACTCGGGCCGGGGCTCAAGGCAGGTGAGTGGCAGAACCGGGGTGGGGGGCAGGGGGTGCTCTGCATTACAGTCCATCTGCCCACCCACTCCTCACCCTACAGATACTGACGGCCCTGCAGGTGGCGTCCCCATTCCCCAGGGAGTCTCCTCTCTGACCTCAGGTATGGAAACCTGGGGCCCTGCCCCTGGCCCCCTGCACCCCCCACTCCACCTCCCTGGACCCAGGATGGCCCTGCCTCTGTGTCACCTGCCTCTGCCCCCCACAGCTGTGCCCCGGCCTCGTGGGAAGCTGGCGGGCCTCCTCCGGACCTTCATGCGCTCCCGCCCATCGAGACAGAGGCTGAGGCAGCGAGGGATCCTGCGGCAGAGGGTGTTTGGCTGTGACCTTGGGGAGCACCTTAGCAACTCTGGCCAGGATGGTGAGGCCGGAGCCCCCTGACACCTTCACCCACCCCCACCCCCCAAACCAGGCCCCAGCTGGCCTGACCCCGCTGCTTCCTCCCAGTGCCCCAGGTGCTCCGCTGCTGCTCTGAGTTCATCGAGGCCCACGGTGTGGTAGATGGGATCTACCGGCTCTCGGGCGTGTCCTCCAACATCCAGCGGCTGAGGTGAGGGCCCCGCGCCACCACCTACCCAGACTCCTCCGCCCCCTGCAGGGGACACAGTTCTGAGGAGCTGGGAAGGCCCAGAGGGAGGGGAGCCTAAGAGTGAGGTCAGGGAGGGCTTCCTGGAGGAGGTGCCACCCCTGCCCACTGAGACCAAAGGATTCACAGTGCTGTCTTGGAGTGCTGGCATGTCAAGCACTGTCCTAGTGGTGGGGCCACAATGGGGAAGGTGCCAACCTGAAGCCCTGCCCCCAGGGGCCCCCCTACTCCAGGGAGAGCAAAGCAGACAAGAGAGTAATCCCGGGAGGGTGCCAGGAGACAAGGTCTGGGGTAAGGGAGGATACAGATAGTCCCTGAGGATGGCACATGTCTGGCCGCTTGAAATAGGGCAGGCGGAGAGGGCTAGGAGCCGTTGGGCAGTCCAGGACAGCCCGCATGGAGGGGAAGCAATCAGGGCGCAGGGGCCGAGCACGCAGGGCCTTGGTGGCGACTGATAGGATTTGGCTTTTGCTTTGAAGGGAGGGCACACCTCTGGGGTCAAGAGGAATGGCTCACCAACAGTCTGCGGGAGCTGGGGAGAGGCAAGGTCAAGAGGTCATGGAGGGTGGGAGCTGAGCACCGGGGCCCTGCTCTGGGCCTTGACCTCTGGAAGCCAGGAGAGTGGCCTACGTGGTTTGAGCCTTGGCTCCTCCTGCAAGATGGGGCAGCCTGGTCTTTGTGACCCACAGGCTCACTGCCTCTGCAAAGCCCAGCACAAAACCAGGACAAGGGGGGTAGTGTCATCCTGGGCCCTGAGCAGGAATGCCACTGGCTCTGACCTGACTCTCCCGGCCCCGTGGCCCCGTGGCCCCGTGGCTGCAGGCACGAGTTTGACAGCGAGAGGATCCCCGAGCTGTCGGGCCCCGCCTTCCTGCAGGACATCCACAGCGTGTCCTCGCTCTGCAAGCTCTACTTCCGGGAGCTGCCCAACCCCTTGCTCACCTACCAGCTCTATGGAAAGTTCAGCGTGAGTAAGGGTGCCAGGCCAAGCTGGAGGGTGGCGGGGTGGGGGAGGGGGGCTGGCCCTCCCCTCACAAACTGTCCACACCCCAGGAGGCCATGTCCGTGCCCCGGGAGGAAGAGCGCATGGTGCGGGTGCATGACGTCATCCAGCAGCTGCCCCCACCACACTACAGGTAGCCTGGAGACCTCTGGGGGCGGGGGTGGGGAGGGCAGGGGATCTGAAAGGGAGTCGAGGCTCAGGGGTCCCCCACTGTTCCTACTCCCAGGACCCTAGAGTACCTGCTGAGACACCTGGCCCACATGGCCAGACACAGTGCCAACACCAGTATGCATGCCCGCAACCTGGCCATCGTCTGGGCCCCCAACCTCCTGCGGTAAGTAAGTGCGGAAAAGCTTTAGCCCAGTAGTTCTCAACCTGTGGGTCGCGACCCCTTTGGGGGTGGAACACCCCTTCACAGGGGTCGCCCGATTCATAACAGTAGCAACATGACAGTGATGAAGTAGCAATGAAAATAGTTTTAGGGTCAGGGTCACCACAACATGAGGAGCTGTCCAAAAGGGTCGCGGCATGAGGGAGGTGGAGAACCACTGCTCTAGCCTTTTCTCTTGTCCACCAGTGGAGTCCTAGCAGAGTGGTGGTTGCATGTCGGACTGCATTCTGCAAGGTGGGCAGTTCAAAACCACCAGTAGCTCCACCGGAAAAAGACTGGGTTTTCTACTCTGGTCAATAGTGACAGTGTGGGAAACCCACGGGGGTGGCTACGAGTCAGCCTTGACGGGGTAGCAGTGAGCCTGAGTGAGATATGTATCAAGTGTCTCCCATGTTCCAGACCCTACTGTGAGTCTCTGAGCCTCACGTGACCAATGAGCCTTCTCCTGCAGCCCTGGTGGTGTAGTGGGTCACACATTAGGCCGCTAACCAGGAGGTCAACAGTTTGAAACCAGCAGCCGCTGCAATGGAGAAAGAGCAAGCTTCTCTTATCGGGTCTCTGTGAGTTGAAATCAGACTCGACGGCATGTGTCTGTTTCCTCATATCTGAACACATCGAGTGCCCAAGAGTACCAGGGTCTGCGCAGGGAAGGGCGGCCCTCCAGGTGGGGTGACGTCACGCCCACTTGGAATGGTTAGGTGGAGTGGCAGGAGGGGACGGACGGAGGCTCCAGCAGGAAGTCAGGTGACCAGGAGCAGAGCAAGAGCCTGCTGCTCTGGATTTGACGTGCCCAAGACAGGCAAGCGCTCTGTCCGAGAGGAGCTCTCACGCTTTGGGGGGGGACACCCTAAGGCACTAGGGCAGTTGAACGGATGGTCTGGCTGACAGAGGAAAATGAGCACAGGTGAGAGCGCGGGAGTCCAGAGACAGAGGTGGGTGATTTTAAATGAGGCGGGCGAGGAGGACCCCTCTCAGAAGCTCACGTTTGGGTCAAGACCAAAGGCGATGAGGTCTCCAGGACAGCGGGCCTCGGGCACCGTGCGGCAGGAGCTGAGTAGAAAGTTGAGGTGGGAGGAGATGATGAGGTCAGAGAGGTGATGGGTGAGCAGCTGGAGGGGTGGCTGCCGGGTCCAGGTGGGGACTTTGGCTTTTATCTGGAGGAGGTGCAGGCTCCCCCTGGCTGGTGTGAGCAGAGAGAGTCGCGGGGCGGCTGCTGGGCGGGGTCCCACAGGAGAAGGTGGCAGCTGGCTGCAGTGCAAGCCGTGAAGGGGGAGAAGAGGTGACGTTCTGGAAGGGTCAGTTTGCTAACAGGTTGGATGAGGGTGCGAGAGGAGTAGGGGTTAAGGCAGACCCCAGGGGGCTTGGCAGCACAGGTGAAAGTGGCTCTCACTCGCAGTGACCCTACAGGGCTGAGCAGCACTGCCCCTGGGGGCTTCCGAGATCGCAACTCAGACTCATTGCCATGAAGTCCATTTCCACTCCAAACGACCCTCTAGAACAGGTAGCACTGCCCCTGGGGGGTTCCGAGACTGGGTCACCCAAGGGGAGTCGAAAGCCTTGTCTTTCTCCCGAGGAGCAGCTGGCTGGTTTGAACTGCTGACCTTGCGGTTAGCAGCCCATCCCATAACCAGTTAGGCCACCAGGGCGCCTTGCGTGGATGGGGCAAGTAGAGAGCAAGTGGAGAGCCAAGCTCTAGATGTGATCCACAGGCGAAGGTCAGTGTTGGGTGGGCAGTCACCGCGTCCACTGGCTCTCCACCTTACCGAGCCAGAGCTCGACAGCTTAAGGCACTGGCCCGCTGCTCCCTGCCGCCCGACGCAGGTCCATGGAGCTGGAGTCGGTGGGACTGGGTGGAGCTGCCGCCTTCCGGGAGGTCCGGGTGCAGTCGGTGGTGGTGGAGTTCCTCCTCACCCACGTGGATGTCCTCTTCAGCGACACGTTCGCCTCTGCTGGCCTCGATCCTGCAGGTGCGCCCCACCCCCAGCCCTCACATCCTTGTCAGGACCTCCGGCCCCCGCCCTCTCCCCACCCCGAGGAAGCTGGCTGGCTTCCTTCCCAGCCTCCTTCTCATTTCAGCTCAAGAACCCCAATTCTGGGCCCTGACGCTGCTCTTCCTTCACCCCTTGTAGCTCCTGGGGAGCACTCAGGCCATGGGTCCACCTGGGAGGAGGTGGGAGGTCCCCAGACTTGGCCCCGCCCCGGCCCCTCCCAGACTCCCCGCCCTGCCCTGGACCCCCGCCCAGTCAGGAGTCAGCACGTCCATCGGAGGGCCCTCTGGCCTGAGGTAACTGAAGCCAGAGCCTCTACCTCGCTGGCTGCTGGGAGCTGCCTCCTCATCAGCTCGTCTGCCTCACTCCTCCTCCCCGCCTGCTGCCCACCCGCTCCCGCCTGACCGGCCCTGGTCCCCTGCCTTGCCAGCCCGGGTGGGCACGCTGAGGGGCCGGGGCTTGGGCTGTAGCGCTTGGCTTAGCCTGAGTTCTTGGGTGGCCCCAAGGCTGACCGCCACCCTTTGTCCACACTCTCCAGGCCGCTGCCTCCTCCCCAGACCCAAGTCTCTCGCAGGCAGTGGCCCCTCGACACGCCTGCTGACACTGGAGGAGGCCCAGGCCCGGACACAGGGCCGGCTGCGGACAGCCACCGACCCCACGGCCCCCAAGACCCCAACCTCCCCTGTGGACAGGTGAGTGGACGCTGGGACAGGCGGGGGACAGGCCTCCAGACCCACTCTGCTCACACTGCTGCCCATGTCCCCCCCCGCCCCCCAGGAGGAAAAGGGAGAGACGAGGGAAGCCGAGGAAGCCCGGGGGCCCCAGCTGGAAGACCTTCTTTGCCCTGGGCCGGGGCCCAGGCATCCCCCGGATGAAGCCTTTGCCCTGGCTGGGGAGTGTTCGAACCCCGGCGCAGCCTTCAGGTCAGAGACCAGACTGACCTTGCGGGGGCAGCGGCAAGTCCTCACTCCCCCAGCCCCACTCCATGCCCCACCTCTCCTTGCAGGCAGCCGAACTGACACAGCCACCCTGAGGTCAGCCAAGAGCGAGGAGTCACTGTCGTCCCAGGCCAGCGGGGCTGGTGAGCACAGGGTGGCCCGCCCTCCCAGGCCCTCCCGGTGGCCATGCGGCGGAGCTGGGGGAGGTGGGGTGCCCAGGACTGGCCCCCACATGCCGCAGTCAGAGCTGGGC